ATACCCCCCCCTCTTTCTTCCTCCTTTTTGTTTTTTTTTTTTTTTTTTTTTTTTTTTGAGAGGTTTTTGGTATGGGGTGCGTGCGCTCACCAGAGAGACAGAGAGACAGAAAGTGAGAAATCACCCCTCCAGGGGGGATAGCCACACCGCAATCCCTTCTCCTCCATTCTCCTCTCGGGATCTTGGGCATGCACGCACACGCTCCTGGTGTGAGTTTAAGCCACCGGGTCTGGGACTTAAACCATGGTCGACTACAAGGGAGTCCAGCGACATTGCCATTACGCTAACTGCTGGTCCCTCCTCTTGGTATCTTGAGTATGCACTCATACATGCCTGGCGTGAGTTTTAAGCTACCGGGTTTGGGACTCGAACCGTGGTTGACTACATGGGAGTCCAGCAATGTAACCATTATGCCCTCTGCTGGTCCCTATACTCAGAATATTTATGTTCTTTTCTAATGAGTTACACACACGAACCCAGGAAGGCAGGACTGAAATAAAAACTCATTAAATATACAACTTTAATTTTTAAATATAAGCTTTTAAAACAGGATTTTAAAATATTTTGCTTTTGCTTTTCTTTTTAATAAACCAGAAGCCCAAAGAAAGAGGCCAAGGCCTCTCTTCTGAGGGCTCTAAAAATAATATATGGCAGGGACCAGCAGTTAGCATAATGGCTATGTCACTGGACTCCCACATAATCGACTATGGTTCGAGTCCTGGACCCGGTGGCTTAAACTCACGCCGGGCGCATGTGCGTGCATGCCCAAGATCCCAAGAGGAGAATGGAGGAGAAGGGATTGCGGTGTGGCTATCCCCTCTGGGGGGTGATTTCTCGCTTTCTGTCTCTCTGTCTCTCTCTGTCTGTCTGGCGAGCACACGCGCCCTATAGCAAAAAAAAAAAAAATGGCATCTGTATTCAGCACAATTTTCATTAGGGTTGATAATACATGCCTGGAAAGGATAAATATAAAAATTCACGATTTTTCTTTCTCTTTTGAGAAACACTTTTTAGTCTCTTTTGGAAATGCCAGACACGAAATAATGTGCTGCTTTTGCATTGCAAAGTAGTTATAGAACATTTTTTAACACACATAGAAATTTGCCCCATAGAAAATGGACTTAAGGGCATGTTAAAAAAAGGCTTGTCTCAGCCCTTGATTGGGTGTTAAGGGCCCGTCTTTAACTCTTGTTGATACTACTTATTTTAGGGACGGTCTATGTATTTACATTGTAGAATTTATAAAAGGGACTTCCACAGGCAAGCAGTGTAGCATTGACAGAGAGCGCACTCAGACCTCACGCCTGAATTGAAATGATATGAGCTGAGTATCTACTCTGCCGTGACAACCCCTAGTGAGCTCAGTGTAGGGCATTCTAGTACAGTTACTATATCTGTAGCAAGAAAGCAAAGACATTGAAACCTAGTATAATCACAGCACCCTATCTATGAAAACGTAACAAAGTTTAACTTACACATGTGGTGGAAAAGGCAAATAGAGAAAACAGATGGAAGCCAGACTTAAGAGAAATGATCAGTTTCATAGCAATGCTTACCTCTGGAACCTGGACAGATCCAAAGCCAAAACACGGGACCATGCAAGGATTGCCATAGAGTAGAAAGAGATTTGTGAATTAGGACAAAAACGAAATAGGATTGTTCGAGAACATACATAATAATATAGACTAGCATCGATGACAAGCAGCATGACAGCATCTCATTTCCGTACAAGCCCACATCAGTGAGTCTGACAGGAACAGCAATGAAGTTCTAATCAAGAAGGACTTGAGATGAGATGCTCCAACAATATAAAATCCTAGCTGACTTCTTAAATAGAAAATATGTCCTAATTTAATGTACGTAGCAATTCTGTCCATTTAAAAAGCTTCTGAAAACACCGCGATAGTTTGCCAAGTTTAATACGTTATGTGCAGAATAGAGTAGAAAAAGAATCGAAGCATCAGCCCTTCATCCTCTGGACCGTCATAAAGCAATGTGTTCGTTTATTCTTTGGACTAGCGTCAAACGTAAGAGACTGAACATGTTCTGAGCCGACCCGTTGCCATAATGTTGGTTTGGGATCTAGAAAGCAGCCACTGCACCAATCTTAAATGCATATTTCTGTTTGCTTTTTCCTTCCCGATCCTTTGTTGGCTTATTTTAATCCTCTGATTAAGAAGTATTGACCACAGTGAGGCTGAATCCCCTTTTACTTTCATGGAAACTAACGTACTTCCCAGAAAAAGTTAAATACAACATCTAGAAAAATGGATGAAATTCAGCGATTAAAAGCTAAATATACAACCCTAACAACAATTGAATCAGCTCTCTCGTTGCGCAAAGGGACACATATTTATTTCCCTCGGAAATTGTATATGTAAAATCAACTCTTAATTTTCAAATGTACTCATTCAGATAATGAGTATTGGCTTACCAAATGCGAGACTTTGTAGTGCAGCCTGAAATAAATATATAAGGGGAACTTCAAAAAAAACTTGTGGAAAAATGGAATTAAAGTACAAGTTTGTTTTGGTGCCAAAAAAATATTGAAATCCTGGGGCCAGCAGGTGGCATGGTAGTTAAGATGCCGGACTCTCTTGTGGCCAACCACAGTCTGAGTGCCAGATCTAGTGGCTTGCTTTCTCAATTTCTCTCTCTCTCTCATGAGTGTGTGCCCTCTATAGAAAATTCAAAACATAATAATAACCTAAAAATTAAATAAATCATTATTTTTAAAAATGGAAATCTATAGAGTTTTTAAATAATGTGCATTCCGTGAACCTTTTGAAGACCTCCTGTTCATATTCTCTTAGTTAGAAAGGGCCTAACTGGTAAGAATGTGCTAGTAATTTCAGAATGATGAACTACTTTCTAAAACGTGACCACCAAAGGAAGTATCTAAGCAAATACAGTGTAGGTACTTAGTGGAGATGACTATGCATGGGAAGCTTACCTGGAGGACCGGGGGGCCCTTTTGTACCTGGAGGTCCAGGAAAACCCTTCTCTCCAGGTGACCCAGGAAGTCCAGGTGGCCCCGGGGGCCCTGGGAATCCCATTGGTCCTAAAAGAAACATAAAAATGAGGGTACTGGAATGAAGCAATATTAAGACAATTGGAATTCAGAGATTCACTTTAATAAAAAATAATGCAAAGCAATATCTTTTTTCTGTAGGGCTGAGCAGAGCTACTTATGTCTGAAGGAAACTCACGATCAGTCAAAAGGACTAAGGAAGCTGGTTGCATGATCAAGACAAAACTGAACTAGGACGAGCAGCACTGTCTTCCGACATCGTCTCTGGAGCTAGTAGAAGGCCTGGACTAGGGCCAGAAGAGAGGAGGCTCCAAGACCTGGTGACAACGTGCCTTCCTGCTGGAGTCCACAGCACTCTTGTCCTCCCTCCATCAGTGCCAGGCGCAGTCTCTGTGTATGTTCTCCTCTTCCCCACTTATTAAATCTTCCCCACCCTTTAGTCTCACTTCCTCGGGGAAGCTCTTCCTGGAATCCCAAAGTCAAGCTGCTTTTTTTTTTCTTTTTCTTTTTTTGGAGAGGTTTTTGCTATAGGGCGCGTGTGCTCGCCAGACAGACAGAGAGAGACAGAGAGACAGAAAGCGAGAAATCACCCCCCAGGCGGCAAGGCCACGTCACAATCCCTCCTCCATACAAGTTTGTTTTGGTGCCAAAAAAATATTGAAATCCTGGGGCCAGCAGGTGGCATGGTAGTTAAGATGCCGGACTCTCTTGTGGCCAACCACAGTCTGAGTGCCAGATCTAGTGGCTTGCTTTCTCAATTTCTCTCTCTCTCTCATGAGTGTGTGCCCTCTATAGAAAATTCAAAACATAATAATAACCTAAAAATTAAATAAATCATTATTTTTAAAAATGGAAATCTATAGAGTTTTTAAATAATGTGCATTCCGTGAACCTTTTGAAGACCTCCTGTTCATATTCTCTTAGTTAGAAAGGGCCTAACTGGTAAGAATGTGCTAGTAATTTCAGAATGATGAACTACTTTCTAAAACGTGACCACCAAAGGAAGTATCTAAGCAAATACAGTGTAGGTACTTAGTGGAGATGACTATGCATGGGAAGCTTACCTGGAGGACCGGGGGGCCCTTTTGTACCTGGAGGTCCAGGAAAACCCTTCTCTCCAGGTGACCCAGGAAGTCCAGGTGGCCCCGGGGGCCCTGGGAATCCCATTGGTCCTAAAAGAAACATAAAAATGAGGGTACTGGAATGAAGCAATATTAAGACAATTGGAATTCAGAGATTCACTTTAATAAAAAATAATGCAAAGCAATATCTTTTTTCTGTAGGGCTGAGCAGAGCTACTTATGTCTGAAGGAAACTCACGATCAGTCAAAAGGACTAAGGAAGCTGGTTGCATGATCAAGACAAAACTGAACTAGGACGAGCAGCACTGTCTTCCGACATCGTCTCTGGAGCTAGTAGAAGGCCTGGACTAGGGCCAGAAGAGAGGAGGCTCCAAGACCTGGTGACAACGTGCCTTCCTGCTGGAGTCCACAGCACTCTTGTCCTCCCTCCATCAGTGCCAGGCGCCCCAGCGATGCAGTCTCTGTGTATGTTCTCCTCTTCCCCACTTATTAAATCTTCCCCACCCTTTAGTCTCACTTCCTCGGGGAAGCTCTTCCTGGAATCCCAAAGTCAAGCTGCTTTTTTTTTTCTTTTTCTTTTTTTGGAGAGGTTTTTGCTATAGGGCGCGTGTGCTCGCCAGACAGACAGAGAGAGACAGAGAGACAGAAAGCGAGAAATCACCCCCCAGGCGGCAAGGCCACGTCACAATCCCTCCTCCATTCTCCTCACGGGATCTTGGGCACTCACGCACACGCGCCCGGCGTGAGTTTAAGCCACAGGGTCTGGGACTCAAACCGCAGTCGACTACGTGGGAGTCCAGCGACATAGCCATTATGCTAACTGCTGGTTTCTAGTCAAGCTGCTTTTTGACAAGCTCTTCCTTCAGAGCCCTTAGCTCGGTTTTGGTTGCTATATCCCTTAATGTCTGTCTGCTTCCAGGGAATTCTGGAATTGATAGCAGTGAGGACTCCATTTAAATTGTCCACCGCTGCATTCCCGAGGGGGCCTAATAAAAGCCTGTGAAGTAGATGAAACATTTCCCACTGTGGAAGTCACCGAAGGTAAACAGAGAAAACCCCCGCATTCTCACTGGTAAAGCACCGTTTGCCTTATGCCACCTGGAATGGGAGTTAAGGAGCGCGACTAGGGGTTCCACCAATATTTCTCTCTCCCATGTATCCTTGGTAGGTCATTGTTCTTCCTGGGACAAGCTGTTTCCCCACGAAGAAGTTCATGAACAATCATTTGCTGAGTGGGACCAGCAGTTAGCGTAATGGCTGTCGCTGGACTCCCACGTAGTCGACCGTGGTTCGAGTCCCAGACCCAGTGTCTTAAACTCATGCCAGGTGCGTGTGCATGCGTGCCCAAGATCCCGAGAGGAGAATGGAGGAGAAGGGATTGTGG